GTTACTGAAGAGCTGTAATCAGAGTGGAAATGGTCTTGCAACCACCTTGTAGGTGCATTTGGATTGGGTCAGACTCAGATTGGGTAAGCTACCAGTTCTTCTCTACGGTGGAAGGTCAAGGTTTCACAAGTGTAGTGGCCTACAAGATCTATAATTATCAGAGTTAAACCAAGGGTTACATGTAGCCTTAGCATTTTGTTAGGTTTTTGTAAAAATATTATACCCAATTTGTACTTTTGGGTGCCAGGAGAGAGCAATTGAAAATGCTAGAAGACATCATTATTTCCCCGTGACTGCTCAGGCCAGAGTCTTTAAACAATACTCACATAACTGAACATTTTAGCCAGTAAACTGATAGCTGGATTTATTCTGTTTCAGTGCTTTGCTTATTGCTCTAATTGTGCTGTTGGGTGGATCCACAATCGAACAGGACAGAATGGTTTGGCCTTGTACATGTTGCTTTGCAACCCCGCCATTTATGCATAGTGAAGATGTTAAAAGGACTGCATATCCAGGAATAAATGTTGTATGCTCATGTTGTAGAGTAATAGAAAGAAACTTCTGCTGATTCAGCACTCATCCAGTTGCTGTTTATTTTAAAAATTATGAACATCCAGACATACCTTAGGTTCCAAACAACTAATTTATGTGGCTCTACTGTGCCATATTTTGTTGATTTTGAGACTTTGGTTAAAACCCCCATATCTACTGAAAATTTCAGTTTATGTTCTGAAACTCTCAACATGCTGATGCACATCCAAAAGTAAAGTAAGAGATGAAATTTGGAGGGGTTAGTGAAAATGACTCTCAGGCTAGCCTCTTTGGAATTTTTAATAGTCCTCCTTAGGTGTGGATATGGATAGTAATTTTTAAGGCTGCTACTTAGCCTGAAAGTAGAGATAGGTCAACAGGGCTCAAAAAGTGTCATCGAGTCATCTAGGACAAGTAGATTCTCCTTCTGGGCAAGTAACTTTTCATTCTCACTTGCCCAATGGGCAAGGGATTGGCAAGTCATCTGCCAACTAAATCCTTAACAGAGCAAACAAGACTTGCCCAGAACAAGCAAAATTTGAGAGCTACCTTGTCCTAAGGGCAAGCTGGAATTCAATTTTCTTTCAAACCCTGGGACAATCTGAGATGAAATTATACATTTTGTGTTAATTCTAATTAATTAATTGATTAATTAATTAGCTTGAAACACTGTTAAATTTGTGGCCATAACAACTATTATCAAAACTTGATGCACCTCTTGTATAGGAACACAAGATGATTGGTGTTGTTTCAGCTGTTCTATTATTTGGCCAAGAGAACTATTTTTATGTCTGTTACTGATAGCAAATCTTAACTTATTTTGAATTAATACTATAAACCCTTTACAAGCAGCTATGTACCGTCACCAAAGAAGCTTTTCCTGGGGTTGCAGTCAATGTAACATGTAAAGAAATATTGATGAAAGAATTTTCTGTTTGACATTGTAGCAATGGTGATAAGGAACAATAACTTTACATCCAATAGCCAATACTTTGTCATTTGCCAAATTTTCTTGATCTTGCTTCCAAACAAGATACCAAGAGATTTCAACCTTAACCTCATGTACCTGACCTCTCTTTCACTCTGCTGTTCATGTATTGATTAATTTCATAATAATCCAGTGTCTCGTAGTAAATTATGATCTCTACAGAATTGTCAAAGCATATGGGTAAAGCCTTGGTATGGAACTGAAAGGAATGCACTTAAGTCTGATAAGATATGGTTATCTCAAGCAATCATAACTGGTACTAATATTATATTAGATTATTAGATTATTATTGGAAGCCGATTAGTGCCATTCTTAGAAACAATCAATCAAGTTTTTGGTGCAGTGCACCGTAGATAATGAACTGCAAAACAGTGCAGTACATATTCTGTGTTCGAGATCTTTGATATTATGGAAGGAACTGTGGAAAACTAAATAGAACTAAAAAAGAAGTCCTATTTTTTGCAGCTAAAACCAACACAACTGTTTCAATCAAGTTATATTTTTAATTTGTATGCTTCTGTCTACACATTTCTAACAGTTATAAATACACAAAAATGTTGGTGCTGATTCCATTGCCCTATTGTTTCCAAAATTCTCTAAATGCTTGGGTTTATGGCCAAGTGTTTTTTTTTTTCTTCCGTCCCAATGAAGACCATTTCAGCAGGCCTAGATGGATTGAAAGTTAAATGTGAAGCTGATAGCCAATAACAACCTTGAGGGTATTAACTCAAACTGAATGGTGAGTTTTTGTATCCACTTGTTTATATCATTTTATGTGATGGCTTGAAGTTGGTCATTGGTTAGATAACAACACTGACTGAACAAAATAATGTAAACTTATTGACTTTTGTCAGGTGCATAATTAATTATTTTTATTCTTGCATAATTTCATTTCAGAACTAACCATGCAAATAAAAGGGCAGTGGACTTATAATATTATAAACATGCAAACAAGGATAAAGGTGGTGAATGTCATGAACAGATGTTAAGCTACCAAGCATTAAGGGTTTACAATACCTTTGTAAAAGTACTGTACTTTCAATGTTTGCCTTACATAGATATATTACATATAGAATACGAATAGAGGAACTCATTATAAAAGCTTGGTAAATTCGTAAAATAATGTTATTGGTAAGTTATATTTTTTTGCTTTTCATAGGGATCCAAAATTTTGGAGAATACTTACAAACACTATAGTAATGGAGAAAATAGTTAAAAATTGGAGGCATTATTCACAACTGCCTGAATGGTACAAAAAGCGATAAAAAGAGCTTGAAAAGTTGCCATAGTGTTGAATGTTTACCTTTAAGTTGTTTTATAGTGTAACTAAAAGCTTGAAAAGTTGCCAAAATTGGAAATTTCTGAGTGGTCTGTACTCAGGGTACAGATGGGAGAATCCAGACTGCTGGAGTGTGCACAATTAGCCAATCATACTCAAGGATTTAGGATTCTGGACAGCTGAGAAGCTGGAGAAAAATATAAATAAGGATATTGTAATAATTGCTTAAATTTCCTTGTTTGATTTGTTTTAATGCAGATACAAATGTCATCACATAGTTTTGACTGTGTATCCTGTTTCTCGTACATAAAAAATTATTATCGTCATGGAAAATTGATCTTAAACTCAATACCGGTAAGTTATATACTTGTCAATGTCACTTTTTACGAAGGTTTTAAATTGGTCATTGGCTAGATAAAAATATTAAGAAGTGCAAACTTCCACTTTTCTTTATTGACTTCTTTAAGGCTTAATAGTTTTTGTTCTTGCCGGTACAGAATGCAAATGAAAGTAAAAGGAGTTAATTGACAATGCAGATGAAAGGAATAATACCATAATTGAAATAGAGGAATAAAATATAAAGGTGCACAAAACAGACAAATAATGTTTATAAAAATAATTGTATTTGTTTCATTGAAAGAATTTCAGTTTTGCCTTGCTTATATTATTTAGAATATGAATGTTTACCAGCTCCTGTTCAGGAAGGGAGCCTTTGTTTTTATGGAGCTCTTCAGTTTTTATTTGACAGAAAGCCTTGACAGCGTGCTTCTTTGTCTTGTTTGACATTGATTTAAGTTGTTTAATACCTTTGCCTATAGCGAAAAGTTATATGTTATTGACATTGAACTTTTGGTTAGAAATTGGCAAAAATGGGCAATGATTTGCAGTTGTGCTATTGCCATTATACTGCCAAATGTTTATTTAAGGCAATATGAACCAGAAATTATGTTTGAATTTCATGGAAAATTAGGGGTAAATTCATTTTCAAAGTCAAAATAGAGCCTTATTCTTAAACAAATGCCTTAGTCATTACCTACTGGTCAGCAATTAGTTTCAATCTTTTCCAGTATTAAGCCATGGTGGGAGTTAGGCAGGGGAAGGAAAACTTATAGAGGAATGTCTGTGCAAAATAGTACTCTGACTGGTAATACAAACATGGTACGTACTCCTGTTAGCCTATAAATTGCTGACTCCAAAAAGGCTAGCCCTTTCACTTGTTTCCCCAAATGGCAATTAAAGTTACAATTATGCACTTCACAAAAATACCTTGCTCTGATATGTTTCTCTTGGTTCCAAATGTTTGTTGTCTGAAAAAGAAAACCCATATATGGTATAAAAACCACTTGATATTAATTAAGTGTTTATTTACTGGTAGATGTAAAAGAGTGTTAAGAGTTATGATAACCTTTTGATTCAGAGTATTGTTTTTATTTCTTTATGTTGTAAATTAACATAAGTCCAAAAGTACAACATTTTGATGAAGTTTAGTTTGCATAGCTTGTGCAGGTGAAAAATTTGTATCTGCAGAATGAAGTAATTTTACCATTTTCCAGGTCACTAAAAGTGATGTTTAGGCAGTTCTTGTTGATACTTTTGCAAAACTCTGTCCACTCTTTTGGAGCAATGTCCAAACAATCTTGAAGTGTCTCCAGATTCTTCTCTGGTGCCAGCAGACGGAAGTTATAATGAGATGTTATGTTTTTAAGGTATTTCACCCTCTCTGGAATTCGCAGGTCACTGTAAGTTAACAAAATGGAACATGTTTACTTTATGTGTAATTGTGAATTGCTTTAACCTGATCCCAATTTAGTTTCTGTCAGTCATCAGCTTTTTTGAAACGTGTGGGTCTGTTTGTGTACTGTTACTACTGCATGAAGTCTAATTGACTGTTTTTTTCCAAAAAGAGACAATAAACCAAATACAACAAACTAGGAACCTGTAAATTAGGCCACTGCTGTCTATGTTGCTCTCAAACACATCCTTGACATAGAGCCTCCAAGCCCCTGAGGTTTCTGACCATCCTGCCAGACGACAAAGGGTTGGGACATCCTCTTGTGGGAATACTCCCCCTCTTTCAATCGATCTGATAATAATAAAATTGGTGGCCATACCCTACAAATGAAAATGTGTTCGAGTAAGAGAGTGTGTATACAGGGCTCTCATTAAGTTTCGAGTCAGCTGCAGCCTCATTTTCCACGCCCATAGCAAACTTGTTACTTCATCACTAATTTTACCCGTAGCATCAAGGGGACATCAAGCATATTTAGCCGTAACAGCTGCTACAAGTTACGGCCCTTAATGCCAGCCCTGGTATAACAGAATTATGATTTGCTTCTCAATATACTAAAATGACTAAACCAGGTTGCATGAAGGATTGGCATTGTACTGCAGAAATTACTTACAGCACAATTGCAGTGATGAGTAACCATTTTCTCGTTGAATCCACCGCAGATTACCACAGAGTGAAAAGCATCCCATAAACTTTTAAGTGGAGTGCCGTTCTATGAATGAACATGAAAGAAAGAGGTGTAAAATAATATAACAATTTGAATGGAATCTCTTGCAAAACTCTGCCCACTCTTTTGGAGCAATCTCCAAACAATCTTCAAGTGTCTCCAGATTCTTCTCTGGTGCCAGCAGACAAGTTATAATGAGTCGTAATGTTTTTTAGGTATTTCACCCTCTCCTCTGGAGTTCGAAGGTCACCGTAAGTTAACAATATGGAACATGTTTACTTTATGTGTAATTGTGGATATTTGCTTTAACCTATAGCTGATCCAAATTAATTTTTTATACAGTTGTCAACTTTACTTGACTTTTTTTCAAGTTAACCTGACATTTTTTTTTTTAAAAAAAGGAGGTAGATATTTAACAAACACAACAAATTTTGAAGCTGTACATGAGATCACTGGTATCTAAGTTGCTCCCACACACCTCTTTAACATATAACCGCCATGCCCCTGAGTTTTCTGACCAGCTGGCTAAGTAGCAAAGAGTTGGCACATCCTCTTGTGGGAATACTCCCCCTCTTTGGATTGACTGTTGAATAATAAAGTTGGTAGCCATACCCTACTGAGGACAAGTTTATGAGAAATTCTTGAAGAGTAACTGCTTAATTATATTGTGCATGTGACTTAGAATCTTTCAAACATAGTCTTCCTGTGGAGGGCATTTGTTGCATCCTGTTTTAATAAGTGTAGTTCATTCTCATCTTTTCTGTAGGTAAAAAATTATAATTGCCTTTCGTAGATAATAGTGCACACCGAGTAATAGAACATTATGGATGAAATTTTCTCACACACACACACACAAAAAATAAGGCAAATGGCCATGGATGTTTGTAAGCCACATAAGCAGCTTGTGTCACATATTGCAGTACAATGAGCTGTTGGTACTGCCAAAATTTTGATGACTGGTAAATGAAATCCCTTTGTCAGTCTCTTTATTAGTTTAAATACCTACTTGAAACCAAGTGAGCCCACTTTCATGTGGGAAGGCACCGGTGGAGGGCAGCTAAACTGCCACTGCAGTTCTTCAGCTGCTGTCCTTCTCCTTAGTAGTAGTAGTAGTAGTATACTTTATTTACCCTCGGATTGTAGAGTAGCTTTAACAGCTAATGTCTCCGAGCATTTCAACAGCACAATGGGCAGAGACCAGACCACAACCTTGGTCCCACAAAACTTCCTCCTCTCTGTCCAGAGTGGAACGAAGCAGAGAGCATAAATGCAACTGGAGAAGAAAGAAATGTAAACCATCTTATATGCGGAGATCCCAATCCCACTGGCAGGGAAAAAAAATTGGAGTGATGAATGACACGTCGACAAACCTACTTTGTAGCTGGTGTGGCATTTCAATGCCACAAACATCAATCAGATGTTCCACATCTTGAGGAAATAGCGGCTTCCGGGAAAAATTTGCTCTTTCGCCATGATGGATTTTAAAGTATCTTTTCAATATGCCCGTAACCCCTGGAAAAGTCCTCTTAGGTGAGGGAATGCTGTTGCTTGCATGCTGTGGATACATAAGAAAAGTGAATTTCATTTTTAGAAATTCCAAGAAAAACGGAATGGAGTGCCAAGGCCTTTGTTTCCCTTGTGGAAAGCATAATCCCATTGTTCACTTTTATGGAAAACGGTCAATTAAAAAAGGAATGGAGTTTTTGCAATATTCAGGAGCACATCGAATCATACACAGAAAAACAGCATTTCAAATGCTACCCAAATGCAGAGACCGGTCACGTGGATATGCATTATTGTTGACGGCGCGTAACCTGCCTCAAACAGCGCTATAGAATAGCTTTTCAGCTTTTCCTCTGTGATGGGGAGAAGCTTTTCTTGGTCTTCTTTAGCAAAGACGGCCTCATGCCATTCTTTGTAGCCTGAACGAGCCACCAGCATCGTGCTAACCTGGAAAGGATACAACGAAACTTCAATGGTAATAATATTAGTAATAGTAACAACATTAACAACGTCAATAATACTGAAGCTGTTCCTGATTCTAGTGATGAGGATGAGGATGATGACGATGATGATGCAGATGATGATGATGATGGTAAATATTAGTAACAGCCCATAAATTGACAGCTAAACATCAACAATCCAAATGAGTCCTATTTTTTAAAAAGGGTCTTACAGAACTTTGGGAGAGTCCATGCATGTACATCTCCCTGGACTCCCCCAGGACCTCCTCCGCAGATTTTTGAGACGTTCCCGCAAGATACTGCGTCAGTCTTTTGGGGGCATTATTCTTTAACACTTGGCTGATGCATACCCTGTTTTAAACAGGGCTATGCAGTAGCTTTGTATCTTGTCCCCTGAAATGGGGAGCAACTTTTCAACATTTTCCTTTCCAAAGATGGCCTCATGCCAATTATCTTTATACCCAGATCCAGGCCACCAACATTGAGTTAACCTGGAAAGAAGACACAGAAACTTCAATAGTAGGAGTAGTAATAATAATAATAATAATAATAA